TACTATGGTATACATGATTCTGCTAAGGTTATGAGGTCATTTTGTCACGAGTTCTTCATGGCGATTATCATAAGATTTTAGCGCCACAACAAACTTAACGCGGAAATGCGACAGAGCAATTTTAGTCTGAGACAACAAAATCAGCGGCTTCTGTCGTGACAATGCTACCTAAAATCTAGTCTAAATATTCTGTAGTCGTGCTAACTCATTTAATAATTCCAATTTGCATTATAAGGATCTCTGAATTATGTAGATTCACGGACCGCTTCTATTTTACCTACACTACTTTATTAAGGATGTTGTTTAGAGCAATGGCGAAGAAGTGACGTATGAAGTGATTATGCATGCGATGCCTCATCCGCAGTTCATCACTCCTGGGACAAAGGATTTTAAGGTGAAGTGTATGTACCGTTTGGAAGACGAGACGCTTAAACAGCGAATACGCGCAGAGTAAGGAAAAAAAGATTTTTTAAGCGCTTGCTACAAATCGCTACAACGTTTTAGCTCTATACAACCGATCATCATCAATAAGAACCTGAAGCTTCCCCGGTGTTCCTACGTTATTAGAAAAAACGGGCTGAACGGTCCATTATTGGATTCAGCGGTTGTCGGAGACAGAGTTTATCACATATGGGAATGTAAAGGTATCGAAGGACCTCTGATTCGATTTTTTATTTTATTTTTTACTTAGGTGAACGACAGTTTATTGGACTGTTTAATATATCCATGAGAACCTAAATTTGTCATCGGCGGCACAGGCGTAAGAGGTGAACTCTTCAAGAAACTCTCTTGACATTTAATACTTTTGATAAAGGAATTCACCCACTTTGCTTCGGTGCAACCGCCAGGAAACATGTGGCAAATCATTGACTTGGGAGTAATATAGAAATAGAGTGTTATGGTTTAGTCATGCCAAAATAGACGAAAGACCTGATCCGAACGCATTTTTTGCCTACAATTCGCCCTGACCCACATCATAGCTAATTATTCCGTATAATATTCAGTATAATGGTTTCTGCTCAAATAAGTTATCAGTGGACTATCAAAACTGTATTGACGTAATTCTTTCCCACTAGCAATATGCAACGGGAATTGCATGTTTCTTAACGTTTTGAGATTTTCCTCAACGACTTGCAGGATGATTTTAAGTGCCCTCCGTATCCGGCTAAATACGAAAATAATGCTACTTATATTGCCTCACGCCTTTAGCAGCGTTGTGTAATCTCAAAGAGCTTTATAGCAGTTCTTTTCCATCCGTTGTCAGCTTTGTACGCAATCCATGACATTCACACATGGCATCGATGGTGTCTATGCTTGTTTCTCTTTGTCACTTCAGTCAACCCAAATTTGATATCGGTACTGGTTTACAGACAATGCATTCGTTGTTAATAAGCCAAATGAGAGTTTTGACGCAAACTGTGCTCACTTCCAGACCAGCTTAAGGATTCACAGCGCAGCCCGTCGCCGGTGCTGTTCAAAGTTCTTATATTCAGTTCAGATTTTTGTCACTTTCATTCCAGCAGACACTGTACAGGCATACCTGTTGTGTAGGAGATCTCGAGTGGCACTTTCAGAAGACATTTTAAAATTTTAAGTTACCTACTAAATTAACTCTAGGGAATTCATCAAATTCAAAAAATTCTTCATTTTCATCTTATCTTCCATCGCCGCTTCTCCTTTCGGGTCGCGGAGGCAGACGCGTCAGACAGTGCTTCCAACGTTCC